CTTACCCTTTTGAAGTTTGCTTTAGGGTGAAGTTTGCAGTAACAGTTGTATTCAGAAGTGTACAATGAACCTTTTCATTTTAATTAGAACTTGATGGAAGAAGTAGGATCCACTTTCTGCAGAAATTGGAAAGAGGGATACAATCCTTTCAAAAAAACCCCAAAACAATCAGAGTAACTTTTAGGAGCAGCTGTTTGACTGCAAGAAACAAAGGGAGAAAAATACTGAAGGAATGCTGGGAGATGAGAAAATAACCAGGATTTCTGATTTAAACTTCTGAAACACTAGCCCCTCCTAAGCTTCCACTGGAACCTTATTTCTTTCTCACTCTTTCTCTCTCTCTTTTTTCCCTACACCTCATTTACTGCTTTATTTCTGTCACATTTACCATTGACTGTATATGCATTTCCATTTAGCTGGAATTCTGAAACTGCAAATGCAAGGCTGAGTCATTTCATCGAGACTAGAAGCCATAAGTAGGTGTTTAAAATAATAGCTCAATACCTTAGACAAATGTCAAGGTGTGCAATGATTTTAAATTCCCTGTAGAAAGCAATCTTTGCTAGATGGCTCCAATATGTGTTGACTTTAGGCTTTAATTTAGAAATGCCCAGGAGACATCATCACACTTTGACTTGCTGTGCTCCTCATCTGGGGGGAGTTTCACTGGCTTTAGCATCAGTTGTAAGTTTTTTAATGACATAAATATGTGTTTTTTCTGTCAGTGTCTTCTTGGTCCTTGTTATTAAGAAAAGTGCCACGGGACACTGAAGCATAAGGTTGTGATCTGCTGCTTCCCCTCAGAGCTCAGCACATGTCCTGCACTTGTCTGCAGTTTTTAGGGCTCACGAGTTGAAATGCTTGGTGCTGCATTCACTGTCACATTTGCTGTGCCAAGAGAGACTAGAAAAATACTGCTTTTTGCCTTGAAATCCAGGATATAATAAATTGAATATTATTCTGATATTCTGATAATTATTCTAATAATAAATTGGTCAGAGCCCAGGGTGACCACCAGTACACAAACCAGTGTCCAGTTTCCTACCTTAGCATGTGACAGAGTTCTTTTTCTCACGTGGGTGTCACAGGGGTAGGTTAACTGAAGGTGCCTGAGGCTCTCCTGTGTCCCTACAGTATCACCAATTATTTTGTGTCCTTTACACTGGAAAGTGGAACGATAAATGACATTCCTTACAGTTTTCAGCAGGCCTGAGGAGGTCTGCCCATCACCAGAGCTGCTTGCAGGGAGGCTGGGGAAGCTGGAGCAAGTTTGTGGAGCTGAGTTTTCAGCCCTTGGTGCTGAGCCTTTGGGAAGGGAGCAGTTCTGGGCTGTGCTGTGTGTCCCAGCTCCTGCAGCACAGGGTGGAGATGGCTCTCAGTGACCTGCACACCCTCCTGTCCTGTCCAGGGAGTGCCCTGCAGGAATCCAGCTGTGCTCTGGCAACAGCAGGACTGTGCCACAAGCAGCCACTAATTAGCCTGGACGCTAATTAGCCTGGACACTGACGTGTTGCCCTGCTTGCTGCTGTAATTCCTGCTGCAGGCTGGTTTGGCAGAAGCTGCCAGAGTTTTCAGGCAGATCTTGGCTTTGGCTGCTGTTTTCCTGGGTTAGATTGCACCTGATCCATGTGAGCTGACAATTCCCTGTCTCCATTCCAGAGCTCTGCATTCTTTGTGTACGGTGTAACAGTGGTTATAGATTGATCTGATTACCAATACAGTGTCTGAGCCTTTTAATAAAGTGATGAACCTTTGAGACTTACAGGATTTAATGTTCTAGACCGGCTCAGTCTTTCAGGGTAACTGCTTCTTCTGCATTTGCAATAACTGGCAGAACTCCTTATTAAATTCAGTAAGAGCAAAAGCATATTTCCATTGAAATTAATACCTCAGGAATGAATTCTGTTTTAGAGGGAAATTTTCCAGTCTGTCTGTGCTTTTATTTTGCTCACCATGTGAGCCCTTTCATATATTTTACTGTATTTGCACTTATTGCAGTGCCAGGTAACAGCCATATAAAGGTATGAGTGCTCTTCTGTTCCTAAACCTCTGCTAGTCTGTGTGTGCCTGTCCATGAATTTGTATCACAGACCATGCCCTTCAGTCATCTAGGATCAGTGTGCAGTAGGATCAGTAAAATCCTGGCAGGGTGTTCTATGGAGGCAATCCTTTATTTTCTTTTGATGTAATACAGTTTATTCATCCAACACATCTTTGATGCTCCACTTTGTTTACACCACGGGCCAGTGTCACCCACCCAGATGAAAAAGTTGCTAATTTTGTAACTTTTCTTTTTCCTTTGTAGGTTAGACTTCTAGCAAATCCATATTTCATTTAGAAGGGTTGCTGTGCTTGTGGACATGTCTGTGCTGGAAGTCAATGAGTCTTTTTTGCTGCCTGTCAGATAAATCTGTCTGTCACTACCTGTCAAATACCTGCATCAGGTTATTTAGTTCTGGGACAGCTGTTTGCCTGTTGAACCTTTCTGCAGGAGATAAAATGTGGATCTGTTGGTTCTAGACTCACAGTAGAATAAAGTTCTGTATCAGTGGTGGTCTCTGCTTTGCTGGAAGTAGGAAATATCCTGTATTGCTCCAGTCGTTCCCAGGGTGGTGGGATGCATGTGATACATTAAAAATAAAACAATCCCTGTGTTGAAACAGTGTGTGTACCATTGTGGTGCAGGACATTGTCTTTATAAATTGCAGTGGCATCACGAAAAAAGGCTTTAATAATTAAAGACAGCCAGATTAATTTAAGCCACTTTCTTAACATGGATTTGACATTAAACTAAAAGAAACTGCATTTGTCTTTCCTTTGCCTTGAGGCAGGAGAAAAGTGGCTTGTATCTGCCTGCAAAAGATCATTTTAACTTTTTATGGTCTTTTAGTTGATGACTGGCCAATGATTTTATTGACTGTTAAATGGTCTGCATCTCACTGAGGCTTGGGCAGCAGTCCATAGCAGGAAAGCCATGGACAGCCACTTGCCTTGGAGTCTGTGAGGGGAGCTCCAGACAGATCCGTTTTTCCTTTCTGTTGGCAGGGGGGAACTTGAAACATGAATTGCTCTGGCTGATATCAGGTGATGTGACAGTAAGAACCTGGATGAAATGGAGCTGGAATCAATTTTATCTGTAGAAAATGCCTGGAAAAGTAATGTGACAAATGCAAAGGAAACTTCACCTGTATTGTACCTTCATCAAATCTCTGTGTGTAACTCTGTATGGAAAAAGACACCAGCACCAGGCTGTGACCTGAAGCCTTTGCCATAAAAACCTCCACAAGCACAGCGACCCAACAGCTCTCTTGTTGTAAGGTGATCATTTTTCTGTTGTCAGGCTGAGATATATTCTGTGTAATTATCAGGAGGGGGAAAGCAAAACTGTCTCTTTAACCCCTTTTGATTATTTTTTCCCCTTTGCCGCCTTTCTAAGGGAAGACACAGTTAAATATTCTTGGCAGAACCCCACAAGATTTTTGGCAGGGGAGCACAAATGGATCCCAGTGTGCTCTGCCAGCCCTGGGAGCTGGGAAGGAAGATGGAGCTGGGGTGCCAGCAGATTGAACACTTGTCTTCTTTCTTTAGTGTAATTACATTTGCTTTTCAAATTAAAGTATTTCCTCCTGATTCATGGCATGACAGGTCCAAAACTGTGATTGAGTGCAGAGCTGAGGGCTGCATGCTGGAAACCAGGGGTTTGGTTTGATCAGTAGTTGTCTGGTTTTCTTTTTGTGTTGCATATTGGGAATCAGGGAAAATGAGATTTAATTTGGAGTGCTGGTTATCTTTTGTTTTGTAGCACTAAGAAACTCTCTGATTTCAGAGGACAGATTTTCCTAGGACTGTGGCCAATATCCCTTGAACAGCTGTCAGCCTTACAGCTACATGTTCTTCCATGCAAAGCCTCTCTTGCTGAGAACCTGAGGTTGTTCAGGTAGATGCCGACACCTTGTTTAGGTTTTTTCCTAGAGAATTAATTCTTTGGCAGCTGTCTCAAGAATGGCACGAGTAGGTTCCAGAGAGAGCACTGAGTCGAAGCACTCTTAGCCCTGCTAGCAGGGTTCTGTGAATCATGGAGGATCAATTTGCCCTTTCCAGCAGTGCAGGGCACTGGGATTTACTGTGCTGTGACTGGAGGGAATAATTCCAGAGTGCCAGGGCCTGTGAGCAGGGAGCCAGGCCAGAGGGAGCCCTGCCTGGCAGGAGGGGAGCTGGCACGATGCTGGAAGGCTTTCCCTGCCCTCCGGGCATCCCAGCACTTTCTGTCCCCTGCTGGGTGGCCTTTCCTCTCCCTGGGCTCAGACCAAGGCTTCGACCTCCCTGCTCTCCAGTCTGCCCAGAAAGGGATCAGAGGGAAGGTTGGAGCCAGGTTTTTTCTCTCCAAGGTGCATATTGTAACACCCGGGGCAGCCAGCAGGGCAAGAGAAAGATTGAGGAGAAGAACTTTTCACAGCAAGGGTGGTTTAACACCAGTGGACAGAGTGAGGCTGTGGCACATCTGTCCTGGGGCTGGGAAACTCAGCAACACCCTGAGCTGACCTGCTTTGAGCTTGGTGACCTTGAGAGGGCTCTTTCAGCCTGAATTATTCATGATTCAAAAATTTGTATCTTTAGCTGTGCTCTCAATCAGAATTTTCTAACTTGACTTCAATCCAAATCTTAGGTTTTAGTCCAAACTGAGGTTTACCCATAATATTTGAATTGTACTGGTTTCTTAAAGAGCTTTGGGCATTCTCAGCTCGGTGACTTATAGGCATTGCAGTTCAAGAGGGGTTTTCTTTGCATTCATTTTCTCTCAGGGATTTCATTCTTTTACGCCTGACACTTCTTGAAGTGAATATTGGGTTTTTGTTTTTCCTGTCACTAGGCTGGCCTACCTCAAGGAAAAGTTCAGACCCTTCCAGAGAGAGGATCAAAGAGGTCAATTATAAATGAAAGGTAGGGGAAGGAGGGATATTTTCCTGTCTTGCTTCATCATTTTCACTGATGGAGTCTGCAGAAGCAGAACAGTCTGGTGTTTGTAGTCTTTGGGGATGGCTCTGTGTTTCCTGAGCTCTCCATGGCAGGGAGGCAGCCAGGGGAGTGTACAGCCTGCCCACATGTTTGGAATGGGCTGGGAAGCTGCTCCAGCTCCTGATTTCCCAATCACTGCCTGCACAAAGGAGGGATGGGAGGGAGGAGATTTCTCCTATTCATTTCTGGAGGTGGGAGGAAAAGAGAAAGGAATGAAGAATGGAAAATGAGAAATAGCAAGAATTTCCTTTCTTCCTGCTCCTCGGGGGACTGTTGCTAGATAGAGAATTTGATGAAGAAAACACCATGTTTGGGTTTTCAAATGCTTGAATTTCAACTGTGCCCTTGGCCTCTGAAGCTTGGAAGTGAGTCCAAGGGAAACAATCTTCTCTCCAAAGAGGTTTAGCTTGCATCATTAGGCTGCTCTGCCTGTACAGTCACATGAAGTGATGTCATGAAAAAAAGTGCAAGTGGTGTCTTTCAAATCTTGCTCTCAACCAACTTCAGGCCTGGACAGGAGACACGAAAGGCTCCCTGTAGCCCATATTTGTCACTGTGCAGATGAAGGGGAAAAACATTCAGCTTTATCTTGGTTTCATTTGTAAATGCTGGATAAATTCCACACCCCCTTCCCCCCTCCCCACGAACCAGAGAGGGAAGGAAAATGTTGACTTTGGAAAGCATGAGGTCTCTGCACAGGAGAGGTACTGATGTGCAGCTGGCTGCTGCACATTTTTTTCTGGGGTTTTTGTGGGTCTGGTTTTTTCCCCCCACCAGTACAAGGCAATTCATTGAGGAAACCTGAAAGCAGCCTGTGGGACCTGAGTGCAGTGGCAGCTCTGCAGTGCTCACCTGCCTCCTGCAGCCCAGCCTTGGCTCAGCACAGGCAAATAAAATGTTTTGTGCTTCCAGCATGGAGAGAGTCTCCTTTCTTTAAGAATTTCCATGTTTCTCCAGCGAATTTGTAATTATTATGAGTCAAGACTTTTGCATTTTTTACAGTCTTGTCAGTGCCCCACATAAGGAAATAATTCTGAGAGAGCTCCCCTAAGCAGTGAGCAGGCTTTTCACACTGTGGAATTCGCTGCAACTTACACTAAAATGTGCAAGATTGCTGTGGTGACCCAGAGGTGACTTCTGTGCCATCAGCCCAACCATGGCAGTAGTCAAAAGTTACTGCTTAATTTTTACTGCTTCAGTCTGTCCAGAGTGGAAATAAATCTGGAGTTTAAAAGGCAATGTCATGGAAGGGGAGCCATCCATTCACCATCCCCATCCTCTGCTTCTTGCTGGAGTTTGGCCCAGGTGGGAACAGGGGAGGGACACACAGGACAGGATTCTGCCAGGTCTCTCCACTGCCTTTCAGTGCCTTCAGGCAACCTTTTTTCTTCACAGCCTGAAAGCTTTGTCCTCCCCCGAGCTTTTGACACAGACCTGAACAATGGTTCTGCCAGCCCCAGGGGTCACAGGGGAGCTGAGGGCTCAGGCAGCTCAGGAGGGAATTTCCAGTCTTGGGTAAGTCAGCAAAACTGCATGGGGTTTATTTTAGCTGTCTTCTTTCGGGGTGAGGAGAGTGAGCAGGGGAAAAAAAAGAAAAAAAAGGAGCTTTACTTTTTGATAGGATTTAAATTCTTAAGCATAGGTAATTGTGGCCAGAAGAGCAAATGAAGCCAAAGATCTGTATGTGTTTGGAGAAGCCTAGGGTTTTTGTTTTTTTTTTAAATATGCTCATAGTAAGCATATGTTTTTAGCTAAATGTGCAGTGGTATATACAATTAGTCTTTGAAACCCAGTACAAAGGGACAGCTGGTTTGAACTCAACTCCAGGAGCTTTTTATGGCTAAAAAATAAAAATAAAAAAATCTTATATGAGATATAAAAATGTTAATGTTTCAATAAAATGTATTTTTTCACGTTGACCAGGTCACTAGAGCTACTGTAAGCAGTAGGGCTGCTGCAGGAAGGTTTTATATTTCAATATAAAGATCCTCTTTGTAATTACTTATTTTGATATTTTGCAGCTTTCCTTCTTGGAACTCAGAATATGTAAATATTCAGCCTTAGAAACTTGTTTGCTAAAGGAAAAGGAAAAGAAAAAAATTAACTCTGTGAATGAAGGGGTAAAATCACTTGTCTGAGGGCTTAAAAAACAAAATGGTTTGGAGACCTGTCTTGTTTTCACAGTCCCTGCAAGCCCAGCTGATTGCTGCAGTTGGACTGCAAATGGTCATTCCCTCTGTCCCCTGCCCTGAGCACAGACACCAACATCCCCCATTGAATTCCACCTCTGAGAAAGCAGAATCATTGCAGTTGCTCAGCATGGAATGCTGCTTCTCACGTTTTTTTTTCTTTCCTCCAAAATGATGTAAATGACATAATAACTAAATATCTAAATAACTAAATATGAGTGCATGTCAGAAAAACGCATCTGGAAGAGCACTAATGGAAGCTCAGGTTTACAAACTGTTGGGCTAAAGAAGGAGTTCCCAGGAAAACATTGTTAGCAAAGCAATATTGGTCTGCAATGAAGAATACATTGAGAAACTATGAGAGGAGTTTAACCTTATTTTCCTCTTCATTAATACAGTGTGTGGTTACCCAAAATCATGATTGAAGGCTTGCTTTGTTCTTTCTGTTAGAGACTAATGTTTCGACTGAATCAGGTAAATGGAACTTGTCTTACATAACTAAAAAAAAAAAACAACAAAAAAACCCCCAAAAACTGAAGCTAAAATGATTTTTGATTATACTTTAACGAGACACAGTTTCTGAGCTTGTTCACACTGGATGATTTCACTTGCTGCATCGTTTAAATATTCATGAAACTTGAAACAGAAATGAAGGCAGGTCTCACTTTTCTTACTGTATACCTCATAAAACTCCACTGAAAAACATTTAAAAGGATTTATTGAGCTTTCAGAAATAAGGAGAAGGCGAAACTTCTGGTAGCCTGCAGGATCTTAACTAGCCTGCACCCCATTATCCCCTTCATGTTCACCTCATGTCCTAAACCTTTGGGGTAATACACATCTCCTACACATCTCTGCAGATTTCTTTTTCCTGTAGTTTCCTTGATCCACAAACTTGTGCTGGAAGGAAATCTGTGCTCTCCACTGAGGGCAGCAGCATTTTCTCAGATCACATTTTTGAGGATGCCAGAATATGTTTTGAGAATGAGTCAGGAGATTGCAGAAGGAAAAATTTCAGGGTGAAGATTGGTGAATGATGCTCTAGAGTGATGACTTTTTGTGCAGTACTAGCAGTTTGTTTAGAATCCAGATTCTTATAAGTGAGTTGCAGTTTTTATGACGGCTTGAGTCCTTATCTTATTTACTGAATTCTTCCAGGGATCGATGGGTACACTTTTGAATATGGAAAGAATTATATAATAAGGAAAATTCCCAGAAATAGGCCTTGGACTTCTCATACTGTACCTTTCAGATTACTGATTTGACCTGACACTCTTTGTCTTAGCTCTCCCTTCCTTAAGGAAGTTTTATTCAAATAAATATTTCTGAAACTTTCAGATATGGTGATGATGAAGGTTAAAAGCTCCCAGAAAATAAAGGAACAGACAGGAGAATTTCCGTAGCTTGGAGTTAAATGTCAGTGCCATATATTCTGGAGAAAATGCAGCTGCTCATTCAAAAGCATTTGTAGGCAGCACCTCTTCTGTCTGCCAAATCCGAGTATTTCAGCCTGCAGTGAAATACCTCATGGCCACTTCGTTAAGCCCATGTTTGATAGAAGAAAGAGTGAAGTGAAATTGGACTTCTATATTAAAAAGTGGGGGTTCTTTGTTTATTTAGCCTTTTTTTCTTCTTTGGTTATTATTCAGGTGAAGCAGGAGTTCAGAGACCAGGTTTCTGCCTGCCTCTGGCCAGAGGAGGGCCAAGGTTTGGAATGTGCCAGTGCTCTGTTGGGTGAATGCTTTGGCACATTTCTCCCAGCTCTCAGGGCTCTTGGCTCCTCCTGCAGGTGCTTTCCCTTTTCTGTGTCACTGATGTGTGGTGACGATGCCCAGCCTGTTCAGGAGTTCTGTGGTGGCAGGCTTTGCTGAAGATGCCAGTCTGTGTGTGCCAACTCCACTTTGTGCTTTGTCCTTTAGGGACTCGCTGTCCCCTCTGCCCCTCGGGTTCCCACTGTCACTGATCCCAGCTGCTGGGCACAGGGAAAGGTTCACACGAGAGCAGCTTTGGGTGAGCTGCTGTTAGCTGTTAGTTTTCCTGGGGAAGGCTTCTGTCCTGGGAGGGTGTGAGAGCAGCTGTGGCTGCCCCTGGATCCCTGGGGTGCCCAGGCCAGGCTGGATGGGCTCTGAGCTGTGGGGCAGTGCAGGTGTCCCTGCCAGGGCAGGGACTGCAGCAGGATGATCGTGGAGCTCCTTCCAGCCCAGGCCGTTCTCTGGCCCTGTGCTTTTGGTTTTGCCAAGCCCCACTATGAATCCCTGACTGCCCAGTGCCCCTTTCATTGTTGCTGCAATGTTTTTCCAGGATTGTCCCAGCTCCTCACCCATCCCTTGGCAGTCCCTAGCCTGACTCTGGGGCTGAGCCCCCCCTGGGCAGTGACTCTCAGCTTTCACAGCAGAAGACAATGGGACTTTTTACCCCTCTGATTCCTTATTTTACCCAGGAGATAAGGCTGTTTGTTTAGTCTCCTTCTCAAAAATTTTTAAAAATCTGTGTGAGAAGCAGTTTAGCGGTCTGCAGGCACAAAGCACCTCTGTTAATGAATGAATTGAGATAAAAGTGGAGGTGGGGATGGTACATTGAGACAAACGCTCAGGCAGTTTCCTGCCAAGGTACAGGGAGCCTTTCCAGCCATTTTCCTGCTGGCCATCACTGCAGAAATGGAGCAGGAGTTCTTTCAGGTCCTGAAAACAAACAGCAGAGGCTCTGACCCAGCCTCAGGCTGCTGTGTCCCAGCACTTGTTCTCCTCACTGGGAGATGCAGCAGTGCAGACCCTGGGTGCTTTGC